ATGAAATAGTGGAGCGAATGCTGGAATGTCTTCAAAACCCCGGTGTTTAAATTTCTTGATGGTGGGAGCCTTGTCGATCTGGATTACGCAGATGTCATCGCCCTCGTCTCTGAAGGCCAAAGCGAAGCACAAGCCCTGTTGAATAGGCTGACCACCATCATACCATCTTTTGTCATGTCTCTTGCACCTTCAAAGTACAAAGTCATGCTCCAGGACGTTGTTACAAATAGAATATCGATTCTGACTGAGCGCGAGAACAAGAATGAATGGCGTAGAATGAATAGCGCTTTACTTGTCTAAGAATAGACGTACATAAGCTGAAAATGAAGGCGAAAGCATGGTTAATACAAAACGATAATGTGAGCACAAAGAATATTCATGACAGACGTGCAGTCTCCGAAAATATCCCTTACGATTCAAGGAAGACCACTGGAGATCGTGGAAAACTTTACATATCTCGGTAGTTGTATTAGCTCTGGCGAGATTGTTTGATGAAAACAGTACAAAAATCTCAAAGGCTCGAATCACGCTTGGTAATTTGCGTCCTTTGTGGCCTCAAAAAAGCACTTCACTAGATCTTAAGGATCATGTGTACCAGGCTACATTAGGGGCTGTGTTGTTGTATGGGTGCGAAATATGGCCTCTGTGAACAGATTGCGTGAGGCGTCTTGCCTCAGAAACGTGGCTGGTTACTGATGGCATCAGTGTGTTAGTAACGAGGTGAATAGAAAACAGGCTTTTGGTTGTGTGGAAGGTACTTCAATCGAGGCAAACATCCAGCACCACCGACAACGATGGGTTGGTCGTGTGCTACGCATGCCGAAACACCGTCTGCCGAGACGAGTGTTGCTCTCCATGCTTTCTTGAGAATGCCGCAAATCGCGAGGTGGACAACATGTGACTTGGCAGAAGGGCGTGAAAGAGATCACGAAGAGTTTGGGTGTTGTTGATGTCGTACGCCTTTCAGGATATGGTCCCCGTGACCTCGTCTGCGCTTATCTGGAGACGCTGCAAGAAATGGCAGTCAATAGATTTTGGTGGCGTTCGTGCTGTCAATTTCTTTTCGGACTCTGATTGAGCGGTTGGAATGCTTAACGCAGGCCAGCACTAGAACCCCTCCATCGCCCACTCTTCCTCTTCTTTTCAATCTAGATCTTTAAATGTAATTATATATATAATTAGACGAACCTTATGGTTGTATGGCAGTGAAGCATCAGTGTCAACACTGGTGCTGCTGTCTTTGAGGATGATGATGCTGCAACCAATGTGACTATGCTCAAACAATGCAGTTCTCAACAGCTACAACCGGAGGATGGACCGGTGGGCTGAATGGTTCAAACAATTATTAACTTACCCGTCAACCAAAATTCGAGAACCCGAGACCATGTGGTTCCAACTTGGAGACAGGTAAATCAGAAATCTCCGGGGTCGTCAGACAACAAGTGCAGGAAGCTCTCGAAAGCAGATATCCAGATCAAGGCCAATATCTATAAATCCCGCATCTCAGCAATTCTCGAGCCACTGCACAAGCTTCTTCATTCTGTCCGGAAAACTTGAGAAGTTCCATGCAAGTTGCCTCACTGTTGCCACCAATTCTTAAAAAGCGGTAGAACACCATGCGAAAATCGTCGTGGAATCAGTCCTATTGATATCGTTGTCAGAAGTTTTGTGTCCATGCTTCGATGTTTTTTCCTCCGAACCCACACAAATCCAGACTAAGGGGTTTCTATCCCGCAGAAGGCTGTGTGGACCAAATATTTCGTGTGCGGTTAACGGTAGATTATCTTTTCGAATTCATGCAACCCACCAAAACATTCCTCGATCTAAAGCTGTCTCCTAAGGCCCACTCCAGAGGACAGAGAAAACCATCCGTTCCCGTTGGCTGCAATATCTAGGGCTAACTCGGCCACCACTACCTTTGACAATTCGAAACCATTCTTCAAACCCCGATGCGCAGTCCACACGGTGGACTTTAAAGTTCACACTCTGAAACACCTCGACCTGAAGCTGTCACCTTGGCGTGGTAGTCGGCCTTCTGTGCTGCAATGATCCTGCGGGCTATGCTGACTGGAACTCGGTTCCTAAAGGTTCAACCATGCAAGGAAGGCCAACGGGGAGTAGCCCAACGAAGAGCAACGAGTCCCCGTACTGCGATTGATCGCATTACCAGGCGGTCTGGAGGTAAAGTCAGACTGTCTCGCGCGAATAGTGTAAAGGCAGTAAAGCGTTTTTCAGGGCGACCAGCATGTCCATATTTATGGAAGCAGTGATGCTGCCTTTCCCCGAGGAAGGACGGATAAGAAAAGGTCGGGTTGGGTCAAACCCAAACCTGATGCTTGCAGACGAGCCAATCGATGTGGTAGGTAAACTTGTTTACCTGGGCAGTTGTGTGAGTTCCCGTGGACTGACTGGAAATGAGGTTATTTCTCGAATCAAGAAAGACGGCAGCTTTTGCCAACGTCCGACGTAGCGTGAGTTTGTCTGTCAGGGGCAAGTTTACAATCGGTGGTCCAATCCATGCCGCTCTATGGATCAGAGACGTGGCAGAGGACATACGAAAGATATCATTGTTTGACCATTGGTGGCTTCGAAACATTGGTCGGGTATGGTGGGAACATCGAACTAGTGATGCTAAAGTACGCCTGATGGTCCCAGGAAGAAGGAACTATCCCGCGATAGATGAATTGCTCACGCTATATGGGTTGCTCTAGTCAGGGCATGTACTCCGCATGCATCTGTCTCGCAGAGCTCTTTTTGACCAGCGCTGTGCTGAATGGAAGCAGCTGAAAGGTGGAAACTGTATGAACTGGCAAAGAAGTACGGAAACACCAACCAGTGAACTGAATCGGGTCGATTACTACCGCCTTCCTGGATGGGGACCCCAGGACTCACTCTACCAAGGATTAATGCCACTGGCAGAAGTGTCCCAGCCTCTCAGTCAGGGGTGCTTATGCATCAAATTTTCGCTTAATTGCATAACCACCCAATCCCCAAACTAACCGAATATGCTTTCGCCTCAAAGGCTGTCCCAGACTCCCGATTTTCGATGATCGAAACTGTAGCAGCTAGAACCATTGTGCCTATGGTACACAGTTTATAGCTGACAAATTGGTTGGCAATACGACTACCCTCAGACCGCCCCATAATAGTCTCGCCAAATTTAGTCTGACCGCCCCTCTTTGGACTCCCCGTTGTGGAGCGAAGTTTCAGCCAGCATAGCCCTCGAGACCACTGCAGAACTGAATTCCGATCACCGCGTTAAAGTTGGCAGGTTTTTGCCGGACCGCCTTTTTTATCCTCATATTTGGTACATAACGTGCTGACTTAAGGCCATGAAATAACGAAACTCTACCGTCTTTTCAATCCCAACTGACTAATCTTTCTCTAGTTAATCGTAACCGTTCAGCTGCAGCACCCTTTCAGTGCCTAACTGCTATGCCACCCGAATGATGCACGAGGGCTGGGATACTGGCGGGTTCCCCAAGCCTTGACAGAAGTCCAGATGCAGAGACCGGGTTCGAACCAGGTTTCGTTTGGTCAGTAATACCCGCCTTAGCCACCGAGCCATTTCTAATTGCCATTGAGATACACAGATTAGCGGTCACTCAGAGTGTGTACCCTATCTTGTCACGGACAAAGTTGAACGAAGTAATTGACGTTAGTACTCACCAGTTATAGTCCATTGTAAACCCCAAATGAACTGCACTGGAGCTCTCACGCAACCGGAACTATAGGTATCAAGGACAGGAAAGGTAGGCTTGGGCATATATTACATGAAGATTATAAACAAATGTCAATTGGTCATGATTATATGGAGGGGCGGGCTTGTCTACCAAGTCGTTTGAACTCGAAAATGGTAACTGTTGGTTTCTGCTGCACCTGGCCGTGCTGAAGCACTTGGCGTAATGTGACGGTAAGACAAATTTAGCCCCTAGATGGTACAAGTCTCGCTCAACTTAGGTTGTCTAGGAGACATTTCTGCTTCCAACTCTGAACAGCCCCATGAATGAATGACGCAAAGACCTATCATCTTGGATTGTTGTTGGGAGATAATTACACGGCGTCACTTAGAGATAAAGCTATAGTAGTATCTCAAGCATGTGGATCTCTGATTGGGTTTACCGGATCAAAGTAAGGTGTTTTACAGACAGCCACATGTAAACCACAGTGTCCACACTGTTGCTCTTCTGGGTGCATTGTCGTCATCAACCGACGGAGTTGGTATCTCAGGCTACATCGGTAAATGGGTGTCTGTTCAGACAATAGTCATGGGGTACACTCACTTTCCAGGAGCAAGACGCGGGAATTTACTGACCGGAAGGTCCGTGGTTCGAACCTGACCTTTGCATCTTGACTTCTCCTGTCTAGGCTTGGACAACCTGCCAGCATCTCATCCCTCGTGCTTCCTTTCAGGTGGCCTGATAGCTAGGCACCGAAAGCGTGTCACAGCTGAACGATCTTTTTTTTACGACACTCATTCTCCTCTGAATGTCGGAAACCTCATTATTCTTCAAGTGTGTCCATTTAACCTTTTAATGCAGGAAGAGTTTTTGAATTCATCATTGCTCTTAATTTTGAAGTAGGAAAATCCAATGAAATTCTCAACCTCCGTAATTAGCACTGCTTAACCTCTGTGCAACCGAAAGCAAACACTAGAGCCGATGGACTGTCAGTTTGTCTACTCTAAGACCGGGACGATGGAAAAGCCACGGGTAAATCCTATCCAGCAGTTGCGCACCAACCTTTTGGCTTTCTCTAGCTTTTATGGTGCAGTCAGTCACATTTCGAATATCTGGTAGCTTGACACTATATTACAGCAGTAGCGCAATCATTCCACAGGTGTATTTGGTTCGTTTCATCTGACAGTTAGTTTCAAGTAAAGTGGTAGGGAAGGTAGATTGTCATGTGAATTCCAGGCGTAATTTTTCTTTCTCTTTTTTTCCAGTGCAGTTTACTGTTTGTCGGTCCTCTTTGGGTTCACATTTTACAGTAACATAGAAATGGATGCGATTTACAAACGACTGAATAGTGAAGTGGAAAAAGTGCAAAACATACAGAGAGAGTTGCAGAAATGTTTGCAAGCTCACAGACAGCTGTCGGCTCAGTTGTCAGAGAACCAGAATGTTGCCGAAGATTTCACTCATCTCAATCAGACAAATACTATCTACAAGATCGTGGGCCCCGTGCTCCTAAAGCAAGATTTGGAAGAGGCAAAGGAAACTGTGAAGAAACGCATAGCCTACATCACCTCCGAACTGTAAGTGATTCTACCGACACTCATTTTTTCGACTTAGGAAACGATTGGATGAACGCATTAAAGATATGGAGAAGCAACAGGACGGCTGCCGAGAACAAATTACCAAGCTTCAGCAAAGATTACAGCAGGAACATACGAAAGCCGCTCTCAAGACCTAAACGTTCTACTCTTGAGTGTTCGTGTGCGCATTGAACTCAGTTGACTATAAATAACTTAAACATATGGTGCATTTTTCACTTCCTCGGAAACCGGGCTGATGAATTCCGAAAGCTGTCTCAGCTGTAACCATACTGGCACCCATTTCCTCTTGAGGCACTAAACTCGAGGGTTGTCGTGCTTTTTTAGCTAGGTTTTCACTACTACTGAATAACCATGTCCACGCTGGTCTGCGATACCTACAAAACCGCTATGCCCAACAAAGAACCTGTCGTAGTTAGGTCAACAGCTATTCGGGAAATTGGGTTTAAGGTAAAACCCTCCATCTTGCCATACACAATTGTAGGATCTAGGTTCAGTTTAAGCAATAACCCTAACAGAGGCCTTGAGGAGAGACCAGTTCCACGGGTAGTACGCTGCAGCGTTCCAGTGTGGGATTCCTTCACAGCGAGGCAAAATGTGCCCTGTAGTGACATTTTTTCTATACTTCTATATTTAGTTTTTAACTCTGCCGACATGTCATCAGTCTCAGTTTTATAACTCGTAGAGCTCATGTTAAGGTAGATACCAAGGTGTGTTCGGATGACCTGCTGGCTGTTTGGTCGACTTTGTGGCTAAGAAAAGTTCAGCCGTCGCTAGCCTCATTTCCTTGTGTGCGCGTGGTTTGGACAAGGGAATTTCTGAAGAGCTCGAGGTTTGTGTCAGTAACATAAGCCGTTTAGCTTGTCTGGGAAAGCGGTCGCCTACACACCCTTAGAGCAGTTCCCCATTCCGCGGCGGAGTTGTTTCTACAAGGTCAGAGCACGGTTGAAAATTTTATTGCCGCAAAAAATTGCTCTCACGGAAAGTCTCCATGGAGGAAAGAAAGACGTGTTGAGTCTCACTCACCTAATCGTTACGGCCTTGGGCTTCATACTTTTTCGTCCGTATGGATCTCGCTGGCAAGTCAGCTGTGTTCGTACCAGGGCGTAGTATAAGGACACAGGTTCTTGTTGGTATTGACTTATGAATCGGTGTTTGGTTCTGACATATAGCCGGGGTCCTGAAAGCACCAGTGCATCAGGGCTGATGACTAGCCTTCCTCAAGGCGACCTATACCGTCTCGTGTATGTAGAACACTTTCATTTCTTGTTGACCGAGACGGTCGTTTTTTTTCACCCGTTCAGTGAGTTTGTGTATGCTTCGTGCCAAATGAAGGAAAGACTGACATTGTTATATAGCTGTATAATACAGGTTGAGAATTGCCTAACGCTATTTTCGAACAGCTGATAAACCAGCATAGATCCTCTGGGTCGAGCCCAGAAGAGGCTAGTGCTCGGATGACGGTCAATTATTTTCTGGAGCAACACCATCGGTGCGTTTGATCGTTTATTCTTTGGTCTGCAAACACAGGTCGCGCATCCGCTGACCTTGGTTACCCGTGCAAAAAAATCGTTCATCCGTAACACCCTTTCGGTGTCTAGCTGCCATGCACCTCGAAGGAAGCACGAGGGTCGAGATACTGCCACGTTCCTTAAGTGTAGATAGGAGCGGTCGAGGTGCAGAGGTTGGGTTCGAATCACAAATCTTACGGTCAGTAATGCAGTGCCTCAACCACCGAGCTGTCCCCTGTGCTTCTTTAATTTCTACTTTGTTGACTGCATTCTTCCGGTTATATGGTGCTGAGTCACATGTATTTACTGTTGCTGTTGGTAATGAAATCCCCATAGAACCGTCCTGTCTAAGCCTCATTGTCTGATCCATCCTGGTCTGAACTCTGTGGAAAGTCAGCAGTTTCGAAATTTAATTGATTTCAAGTTAGCAGAAACCAAGGTACGGACAGTTGCTCACTTCTGGTACTTGGTGCGCAGACAATGTAGCCTCAGAACCATTTAGTCACTTTTGGAACCCACTGTACATGGCACTTAGACACCAGTGTTCATCACTTATGTGTTGTTGATTATGATGAGCTGAAACGGCAGGGAGTATGAGTAGTGAAACAGACACTCGCTATAAGACCACCCCTGGCATCCGTCGCCCGCAGACTTCCGGACACCATATCGCCGGTTCTTCAGCATCCGTTAACGAACGCTACATGTTGCGATATTTTAGAGCTTTCCTCACGGTCTTTATAATCGTACGCCATCATCGTATAACGTACATAGCAATAAAAGTGCACAAACGAGTAGAAAACAGGGACCACAAAACAACTGGCTTCTTACTAGCAGTTTTTGTGTACTCAGTTCATGTTGGCCATGTTTAGGTCGTTCGCAATGGAAACGCATACAAGCGCACAAGCGATTTTACGCCGTCTTTTTTAAAGGGATGGCAAGAAAAATCCCTTGTGGGGATTCTATTAGGAGAATCAGTTCCGAACGTGACGGGACTACATAACTGCCAATGGAATAACTGTCTTTCGTTGAGACAGATGTTGATTGTTCTCCGCTCGCCATTGACAGATGAGTTGTATTCCTAGTATCACTTGGCTTTTCTGGTTTGGCCAAGCGCACCAGGCGATCAAGCGGTTCACGGTGATAGGGAGGCATTAAGAGACTGGTCCGCAACTGATTCCACCTAGACGGGACTAATAGCTACTGTTCCTCATGTTAATACCCACAAGATTCTAAGACCCACAGCAGGCGATGCTCGGCCATACGCCACACCCTGCCATCTCACTCCTCGTAGAAAAGCCGGGCAATACTACTTTTACCAACTTGATTGAAATATTTCGTCTGACCCCACCAGAAACGGTATCTCCTTAGAGGGCAAGCTGATGTGAGGTGAATCAATCGGGTGATCTGAATATAAGTTGACTGACAGTCAACCTTATGAGAATCCGTATTAGATAAGATTTATGGCCATGCAGCAGCCGGAAAGTCATTTCATGACAGAACGCTCATCTCGTGTGTAAGGTGCACCGCCTTGAGTGATAAATTACTTTGGATTCACCGAATGTCGGGATTCCTGAGGACAGACCTAGATACAGTACAGTTCATGTCGGAAGGGAAAAACCTATGATGTACAAACCAAATGGGAATCGAACGTTTATTGACTTTCGTAAGTCAAAAAGTGTTACCGGTGAGGAAGAATTTTAATCAGTGAACTAGGTGATGAATATCACTCATCCACAGGGCGAAGGAAACCTGTGTGGAACGCATAAGCGAAGCTGGGACTGTACATTGGTACACTGAACAGTTGCAACTACCCCAAAGCAAACGACCTCATGCAGCTCGATTGACGTATAATATGAAATCCTAGAAGTAGGAACTGGGGGCGGAAGTAGCAGTGGGAATGGGAATAAACGCTTCAGACAGACAACAACAATACAATCGTTCAGCTGTAGCAGCTGCCTAGCTGCCATGCCGTACAAGGGCTGGGATACTGCCAGGTTGCCCAAGCCTAAACAGGGGAATTCGAGAGGCAGAGGTCGGGTTCGAACCACGGACCTTCCGGTCAGTAAATTCGCGCTCTAACCGCTTGGTCCATCTCGCCCCCCGCTTCAGACAGACTGCCTTCGATTCTAGGACAGGACTAGGTAAGTATTATCTACCCAAGCGTGAGGCGAGAGAAACCGTTCAGCTGTAGCCCCTTTTCGGCGCCTCGCTGCCAGGCCACCCGAAGAAAGGATGAGAACTGAGACACTGCCAGATTGCCCAAGCCTTAATAGGAGCAGTCGAAATGCAGATGTCGCGTTGGAAACATGGACCTTCTGGTCAGTAAGTTCGCTCCTTAACTGCTGAGCCCTTTCGAAATAAGCTGCGGATAAGTCGTATATTTAGACTATGGGTACCGCACCACTTCGGACAAAGGCTTGGTGAAAATTTCATCCTTATTTCCTTTGTGAGTTATCATAGCCACTGAAATAGTTATAGGCTGAAAAAGTTTTGTGGAGTTATGAAAGCCGTTGTCTGTAGTTTTGGTAGCAAAAAGTTTATCCAGTGGTTCGATACCCGACTTCCTCAAGGCTTGACATCGTGATAGCGTCACTTTTCGGAAAAATCAGTGACGTAGTTCGACCTGTCAAAGGGAAGACCGGACGAAAAGTTTCGGTAGAGAGTTGATCCCGCTCTAGTGCCGTTTCCCAGATAACAGCATACCAAGTACCGTTGGTGGAGTTCACATTCTCTGCTGGAAACTTCTCATCGCAGTATATTCCTGACGTAACACACCGGTGACAATACAAGTATCTCGGTACGCTGCCTGGCTGATGGTCTGTTCAATGAAGTTGGCAATTAGGAATATTCGACCAGTCTCGAAGCGGCCTCACTTGAGGAAGCCCAGAAAACGATACGTCAAGTCATTGTTTCAGCTATCACGTGAAACAGGATCTTCACAAAATCACAACAAAGGAAGGGTATTGGAGAATGAAGGCCCGCGGCTCACAAATTGCCCGATTTTACAGAATTCCAAAGGTTCACAAAGAACCGCCCAATCGGTTCATTACCAGGAACACCCACGAGCATCATTTGAAGAGGACGCACCAGTTGATCTTAACATTCGCTCAATAATGCCAAACACTTTCTGGAGACTAAGGAACGTGCGAATCGAGGAAGATGAAATAACGATGTCGCGCGTAACTTCATTGTTCACAGCAGTTGATTTAAATGCGGCAAGGACGACGGTTGCCGAACAGCTGGACAACCGGGGAACCGTAAGCGGAACACTTGGGGAAGAAATCTGCGAACTGCCGCATCTATGCTTCGAACAAATTAAGTGCATAGTCACGGGACTACGAAATCGAACCTCATAACAACAGCAGTCGGGTTATACAACCAACTAAGCAAGTGGAATAACCACAACGCACCTCGGATTCCAAGCTGGCCAACCAAATTACGCAAAAGCCACCTCGGAAACAACCAACCACCTAAGACCTATTAGATGCTGTTTAGAAATTATATAAGCACACTCCGCACCGACGATGTCATCTCAATTGGTTGTGCAATGTTGGCGAACCAACTGACAAGCTCGGCGAACAGACCATAAGGATGCCGAAGAGCTTTAGCAACCATGTGAGTGGCGTGTTCCGTCAAGATTATAAGCGGATAACCAATCAATCGCAATCCCCTTCAAAAAACAGGAACTGGAAATTGGTTAATTGATTGATTTTGTTACACTTGGTTCAATAGTGAAGCACCGAGTTTTCTCGCCCGTTGTTATTCCGATATGAAAGTCATCACGCTTCGTAACATGATTTTATTGATGAACCAGGGGGATCAAGGTGACAACCATGGTCCATATGCTAGCTCGAATGCCCTCGAAATACACCGATCCACGAAAGTGGTGACATATATGGCTCGTATGGGTCTAGAAGGCAAAAACGGACAACAGAACAATCTCAATTTAAATAAAATAAGTCATCAAGTCAGCTAGGAAAGGAACCGGTGAGTGGAAGACAAATCGGGAAGCAAAGCGTCCCGCCGGTGGACTATATGGAACGCAAAGGAACCATGTCATTCTCTGTCAGGCCACCGCGAATCAACGCGAACGGTTTCTCGTTCACGCGGCGGTCGTTGAAAGGACAAGTGCGTAAATGCCGCGTCAGATCGCTTCTTCCCAAGTTAAAAGACCACTTGCTGACACAAGTCGACTGTTCCGGAAGACAATAGACGAATTCGGTGATTTTCCATCCCGAGTTGCCACTATTGGGCGGGTAGGAAAAACGAACCCAGTTGGGGAGAACGATCAGCCTTCCCCGAATGGCGCTTTCTGCTAGTGCACGCAGACGGCTGTTGCTCTGGGCCGCTTCGCACAGGCACAATAGGGAAGCGTTATCCAGGGTCCGTGTCAGACGTATGAGCACATCTTCTGGTAGTTCGTCTAACCTCAGAGTCGACCGGCCAACGAGAATATCTCCAGACATGCAGGCGGATGATTTGTCGACAGGGACATTCGTTCCGCCCACGTCGATGGCAAACAGGCCCATTGCTGGATTGTATAGTAGACGACCATTCGGACCGGTGGGTCTCAAAAGCACGGCCACGAAGCGGCATCCTCGCCAATGTAATGGACATCGTAATTCAATAAACCCGTCCAGTTGGCGGAGGACATCCGCATGTAAGCGCCAATGATTGTTGAAATTACTCCTTGGAACAATCTTCTGACAAAAATGCTGAAATAGAAAACGTTCGGAATTACAGAAGACTGTCAAAAATTCTATCTCTGAAACAAATAAAACCTAATTTTGTTGAACTAATGAGGTGCTATCAAACCGACAGTCGGCCTCTGCCGGAAATGTGTTACCTATGGCGAACCATCGAAAACCGACGTACTAGAGTAGTATCAAGCGTACCGCCTAAATGTACACGAGTTCGAATGTTCTGAGATGAAGGGATCAGAAGTGACACTCCTGAGATAAGTGGTGGGAACAGTGCTTTGCACATCAGTCCAAAGAATGCTATCCACAGGACTGCGAGAGCGTGCATGGATGTAGTTCAGACAAGCTGCTCATCTGTTGTGAGACAGAAGCTATATTCCAGGCCAAATGAGTACCGGCGGTTGTGATTGATTTCCAATGTAATTCTGTGGTGCTGTGCAATCGCTCTTCCCGATGATACCAACCTAAGTAAGCCCATCTCTTCAGGTGGAGACCCGCTGGTGAATTAGGAATCGCGGCAAAGCTGCCACGGTTATGAGAGACAAGGTAACCTTTTCAATCTCACTTCATTCTGTCCTTTCACGAATCCGATTAATGAAAGTAGAAGATAAACCCCAAGAGAGAATATACGTTAAGCATTTATCAGACTCAAACGTATAAAGAGAGAAGATGTGAGAATTATGCGCCAGTACGTACTACTCGGGTGATATGAGACATGCAAACGACTATTGAAAAAATGCTAGTGAAAACTCAAAAATGTTTAAAACAGTGGTCGGCGGCGCCTATCAGCGGACTATGATCGGGCAGGTTTACTTGAATACAAATCTTGCACTACTGCTTACGTATGAGCTTAACTTCAAGGTCAACAAATGGGGTCAACGACTCTGCTTACGTATGAGCTTAACTTCAAGGTCAATAAATGGGGTCGACGACTCTAGAAGAAGAAATCACATCAGTCAGAAGGAACCAAATGTTTGGCGATCGAGGTCGCTGGGTTGCAGTCGACCACAGTGCCAACGCTCCTGGCGGATCACGTGTAAGAGAAATTTACGCACATGTATTTACGTGTGTTTCACATCTTATTCGAGTTATTCCAACATGGATTTTAACGAAACTGTGCGTGAATGGAAAAATACTTATCGAGACGTTTCTCCGGGATCAACAGCACATCCCACATTCGCAACGACATGCACAGCTGTGCAGCGCTGTAGTTTCGCTTCGGTGCACCAATCAGTCATTCACCATTCTACAAGAACCGATGTCGGGAAGTGCAAGGTTGGTCTTGGCTGGGGATGCCCTTCATATGGCGGAATTGGACTTTCCCACGAATCGTGTGCTCGCCTCCCCCTACTCTGTGTCGTCTAGTGATGACTATTAAACAGCTTGGTTCATTCGCATTTATCAAAAGATCGTATTTGTCTCTCCCTTACGAATAACAATTTTAGACAGGGCAATTTCCCGAAGATTTTGTTACATGGTTTTGCAGTTAGCAATATTGAAATGTGGTTGAGAAGAACCCCACAATCGTCCTCGTGTTGAGACAAGGACTGTCTCTCGCCCGTTACAGTCGAATGTGCCTCCTGAGGCATCCTTGCGTAACACCAGTGTGTATTTCTACGCGGTAACATTAGCACATAAACGCTGTGATTCCACGTTGATGCCAGATGCATCCTTTCGAGCTGAAATTGTGCAGCTAACGGATGCATGATTCGTTCACCATCGTTGGACTTTCTAGTTCCCCAACTGCACTGCTTGTTCTTTCAGCTTTCGGTCAAGTATACGTCAGGAATGACGAACAATGATCATTTATCGTTTGGAGTGCTCCCGAATATCCACAAGATTACCACTTACTTCACCCTCGCTCCCAGAGAAAAAAGGTAAGACGGGTTGTTCAACGAATTCATCCGGTGATTCTGTAGACTCTTCGCCCAAGGTCTGTGTACTGTGTCCGTTCGGTGGATCTGAAGGAAGGGGCAACAAGAGGCCAAGAGGTGCTGCAAAAACATGGCACCGCAAACAGTAAATCACGTGAAAATATTCACCAAATGTCCTCCTGCAACCAAGCGCGAACGCTGTTCAATTTTCGTAGTGATTAAATGTTTTCTAAGAAACATAACGGGCCCCACTACACTAGTAGTAGCGTAGTCCATAATATCAGGTGTGGTCTACTCGTAAATAATCATTTTTTCACCAAGATTCTCATCTCTTTTCACACATTCCTGAATGGTTATTGTAGGTTGCACTGATTCGATAACTATAAACAGCACAACTTACAGATGAAAGCGCGAGTTTCAATCGTTTCGTATTGACTCGTCAGCGCTGAATTTATAGTAAACAGTGGACGAAGGTTTACAAGCTCTCCAAAAGTGGAAGGGATGTACACGCAGTTCCGGACCGATGAAATGAAAAGACATTTGGATGCTACTCAGGCCGACTTCAGGGTTCATTCAGGTGGTTAAGAAACGCGCGTAAAGCGTGCAATACCTAAGGTTAAGTTCAAGGCAACCTGGAGATCCGTGGGCATAGTTTTCTTAACACACCATGCATTCATCGAAAACAAGGTGTTCTAGAGTTCTCTGAGGTATTTTTCCCTCCGTCGACTCCCGAGTTCGTCACCAACAGACTAACACAATTCCGACAGTTTTGATACTCACAAGCTGTTAAAGTGCCCCTCCTACGAAAAGCTCCCCTAAAGGCAGGCCATTGATGTGTCGGGAGATTCCTTCATCGCAGCTCGCCTTCGATAAAAGCAGCCTACGCCGTAAAAAAAACAGACTTGGTAATATCAGTAGCATATTATCATATCTCAAAATCTCAAACATTAAGAATCATATTGAAGGCTGTTCACGTTAACCCTAGAACGCTTACATCGTCACGTCTGGTCATAGTGGATTTGTGAACAAATCTACCTGCAAGACCATGGTATACGATCATGGGGGGTTTCATGAACGCCCTCCTTGCTTTGATACACGGTTGCTGACGGAATCCTGTAGGCACTGTAGGCACTGAAGAATACAACGACTGGGTGCAGTCGAATCTGACCGCAGCTCTTAACGGTCAGCATTAGGTAAACGGGTGCGGCTAGTGGCCCAAAACTTCACAAAAAGAGCTCGCTTGGAAATTCTCTCTCGCTGAGCACAACCGAGGATGCACGGAGCGTATATAGGCTGCAAAGTTGCCTGCATGAACCCAATCCTGTATGGACTAATCGGTACAGTACCCGCCATCGCACAACATTGTTGCCATTTCAAGCCTCACGAGGCTTGCAAGCAAAGTATCGACCACTAACATGCCGTCGCCCCTTGTTTGCTGCAACCACATGCTTTGATTCGGATAGCTAGATTGGCTGTGGATCTGCGCCCGATATGGTCGAAAGGTTGTACCACACTCTTAAGATGCTGAAACACGGTAAAATAAGGTCTAACTTCACCTGTTTTTCAAGGTTTTCGATCCTCGAGAATCATACGATAGGAGTTTCTGCCGGACTGAGAATAAACAGCTTATCACTGAACGACGATCGCTAATTGTTCACCGGATGTAAAGGGTGCCACTATAAGCTCCGAGTATAACAAAGCCGGTTACCGATGTTTTAAAATAAAAGATACAAATGGGGTGTAGATTTTGTAAATATACCTATGGAAAACAACACCTCGTTTAGAAGGACAACGGCCTTTTGAGTTCTAGCTGCTGTAAAAGCGTGGGCATGCTCTACGGACGTTCTGAGGAAAAACTGCATAACGAGGACGCATGCCTGTGCTGGAGGGATTGTCAATAGTATTGAATGTTCCGAAACCCAATTTCCAATTCAATTTATCAGCTACAAACCTAGCGAAGGGAGAAGGCCTTCACTGCGGAGTTATTAGAAAATGCCAACTGACCGGTTACAGACCATTGGACAGGGAAGCAAAACTCTCAGTTGCATCTTATTTACAAAAACTGGACATCCATCTTCTCTTGAACGCGTCTTCTTGAACTTTCCTGAATATTCATTGACTCCAGTCATTGATTGCTCAAATCCAAGCAAATGTTACAAAGCTACTCCACAAAGTCCGCAACAGATCGCCCCTTTTCAAGAGAGGCAAAGCGAAATTCCAAGAGCAACGCATACTACTCGCACGCCTCCCCATCAGTAGTACCACCGTTAAACTAGTACTAAGGATATAGTAGATATTTCGATCACCGGAAGTTGGGAGAGCGTTGGAAACACAGCCAAGCATTGGAGGCGATGGCGTGTTCAGTTAGGGTACTTGTTTGCTCGAAGGGTTGCCGGAGGGTCTCTAGCTAAGCACGCCAAAAATAGATAAAGCGTAGCTAAATAACACGTCCTATTGAAAACGTACCTGTCAGACTTGATATGGATTGTGTGGATGAAGCGGTCGAAGCAGCATTGAAGACGAAAGCCGGACGGACAGGTTTCAGGGCTTTAGTGAGAAAAGGTCGACGAAAAAATCCAGGTGTGGTCTTGGAAATAGTAGGCCTGGTTGGAATTGCATCAATAAATGGAAGTGAAAAAAGACAACAGTTAGTGGTAGTTCTCTTGTAATCCATAGATAATACGAAGGAAAATTACATGTACTCATAATTATACCATACATTCGGTGTCTTCCAGCCGTGGTTCAGAGCAGTCAGAACCTCATAACTCAATCCCATTCTAAGCTTCAGATTATCCGACCCCCTAGCTAAAGTACAAACGTAGAGTGGTTCCAACTGCCGTAATTCCCTGTTGACCAACCAGATGGAGATGAAGTGACGACGGCCATGCACTGAGTTCTGTAGCTTGCA